ATATTTCTATAACTTGCTATATAGTAGCCTATTTTTTAAAAGGTTAGGAATAATATAATAAAGCAAGAGGTATATAAACTATTTTCTATAACTTATCTATTCTATATTTAGTATAGATTTTGTTAATATATCTATTTTAATAGATCTAAAGCTTTTTATCTATAGCGTTTTACAGGATCCTAATATTAAAAAAGGAAATTGCTTTACTTAAATCCTTAATCCTATACTTGCTATTTACTACTAACTTAAATTGCTTAATATAGTAGACGTATTCTTATTCTATAATAATAAGGAGATTATCTATATAGAGAAATAAAATAAGGCCTGTTTTATTATTAATAAAAATATATAGTTTATCTAGGCAATAATTAAATTCTAGACTGTTAAAAAATAATATAAGTTTATTAAACTATAGCTTTAGTAACTTTCGCAGGCCGTAGAGCGCTTTAAGCAATTTCTAAACCTTTCCTGGCGTTCTATACCCTAGTAGACAGGCAGTATAGATCTTATCGTCTATATCTGCGTTAGTAAATACGTTTTTAAAGTTAATTTAATAATATAGAAGCCTAAATATATAGATAAGTGCTATAAAAATATAAAAGCTCTAATACGCCCCTATAGCTATATAGATGTTGTTAGAAATATTATATTAAAAATTGCCTTTTATATATATTTAAGCTTTATAACGAATAAGGTAGCCAGCAGTATTAAATTTATACGTAAAAACCTATTTAAGCAGTAGCACTTGCTTATACTCCGGGTAATTAATAAGTTTAAAAGTATACTTATCTTTAAGTAACTTAATCTTAGTATCTATAGCTTGCTTAAAGCTGTCTCTTTCTAGATAACGCTTTAGCTAATACTAGAATTCCGGTAGTAGTATTAAGTTTTTTTAATAAGCTTTTAAAGTCCGCGCCGATGCGAATATATAAACTATTTATTAACCTAGTTTAGTATATTCTAGTTATAAGGTATATACCTATTACTATACCTTCTTCTATACCTAGCGTGCAGTAAGTAACTAAGCCGAATTTGCTGTATACTAAGTTGCTGTAGCATAGGAAGGGTTTTATAGTATTATGCTCGGTTGTCTAGATCTAAGTAATATTAGAGTAGGATATAGCTATATATAAAGCCTATCTATTTAACTCTATATCCCTATTACTATTTATACTAATAAAAGTTATAGAAATAGTAGAAACACTAATAAAACCTTATATTAAACTAAATTAGGATTAAGAATACTTATATCTTCCGTTAGTTAAAGCTCCGTATCTGTGTTATCTAGATTAACTTTATTAATACTAATTAAAAGTGCTTATCCGGTTTCGGGAAGGCTTATAGAGAGCTATAGGTTATATATAACCTTTTTATCTATCTGTATATCCCGAGATATAATAATATAATCTAGATATAGAATCTAAACTTTATAGATATTAGTTGCGTTTAGCCTAATAAGCTATTCTTTAATTGCTTTATCCTGCAGCTTTGCCCTTACAGGACGGTCTCTTCTATGCTTAATTAAAATATAGGCAAGGAATCCGATAATTTTAATATATAAGAGATTTAGCTTATAGCTATATACTATTTTAAAAGGTGTTTACTATTGCTTTTATTATACAGGGGTGCAATTAAAAAGATAAGTAGCATAAGCTACTATATATAGCTAGAGCTTATAAGGTAGTCTGCTTTATATACGGAGCTTATAAGCTATAGTTATTATTACTCCTTTAGAATATTCTATAAGGCTATTTTAATCTAGAGTATTAAGTAGAGATAGATTAAAGGTAATTCCTTTTGCAATTATAAGATTCTTCTACTGCTAGCTTAGTTTTTTCTTGCTATCTAAATAGATATATTATATAGTAAAGCCCTAGTTATTGTTTATAATAGTAAGGAACTCTTATATTACTATAACTAGTTTTTCTTATATTTTATATAGGAGATTAAAGAAGATATAGTATACTAAATAGTTGTAGTAGAAATATATAACCTACGCATCGAGATTAAATGCCTTTTCTATATAAATAAGATCTAGGTAGACCTTTTTAAATAGGTAGGTTCCTCTCTATATTAGAACGCGTGAAATTTATTAATATACTTACGCAAGTTAGTATTCGGGACAGAGCTCTAAGGTCCGCTGGAAATTGCAAGTACTAAGTGCTACTTCTTTAACTGCGTGTAGTACTTGCTTAAGAGCTTCTTTCCTAATATACCCTAATCTAGCATACTAAATATCTATTAATACTATAGCAATCTAGGGCGTTTTTAACCTCCTTACTATAGCAAAAGCTTATATAGCTTTAGTATAAGATTTGGCTTTAATAACGGAATCCTAAATATATAGTTTAATAACCCGGAATATACTATATTTAGTTATATTAAATGCGTTTAATCTATTTAAATACTTTATCCAATATATCCTTATATTAAAGAAAAGCCCTTGCCTTTCTAAAAAGTCTATATTTATAAGGTTTTAGTAGAAGCCTAGTATATATATAATATTATTAAGCTTAATAAGACTAGGACCTAATAGAGTATTAATATAGACTATAATATCTCCTATCCTCTTAATATGCGCATCTATATTGCTAAATTATATAATTTCGTTTTATATTAGCTTATACCTAGCGAATTTTAACAGGTTATTGCAGATATATATATCTGCATAATTATTAAGCCTAAAATAGTTGTTATACTTATTATTTGCTAATATACTAAATATAAACTTTAAGATGGCAAAGAATACCCTTATCCTGGTAGTAGTCGAAGATAATATAGTATTATTAGTTGCCTTTTTAGGTTAGGTGTTTAAAGTATCGGTAGGCCAAAACTTTAGTAAAGTAATATTGTTTCTAAGGAAGTTTTTCTTAATCTTTAATCGGAGCTATTTGCTTCCTATAATTACTATAATAACCTTAGATTAAACTTAAACTATTAGTATCTAATCTAATAGTATACTTAATAGATTAAGATATTAATAGTCTATATACTTATAGGCAAGTCCGCACACGCAGTTTTATAGGCTTATTAGTAAGTTTATTATTATTAGAGTTAAGTTGGCCCTTTATTTCTTCCGTTTTAGCTGTAAACTATTATTATCTAATAAATCTAAATTATAACCGTGCTTTCTGCCTTAAAGGGTGGCGTGTGCAGCTCGCCCTTTTATAGTTTTTTCGCTTACTAGTGCTATAGTCCTAAACTGCTTAATATAGAAGCCTATTATAATTCTCTTATTAGAAAGTACTAGATTTAGCCTGCGGAAGAACCTAAGAGTCTTATTAATAGTATTCTAAGCCTTCTGCATAATTATAATATTAGTATTATTCTCTATTTTATTAGAGTTAGAGTTATTATTAATAGTTATAAAACCGGTGCTTGCGTAATTTAGATTTATCTAGTTAAGCGCAGCAAAAAGTGCGTTGGAAATATTCTCTATTATTTTTGCTGTTTCTCTAATAAGGGTTGTTTCCCCCTTAATATAAGCTTTCTTTAACTTTATATAATTATAGAATAGAGGATTAAGGTCCTGTAAAGCTTTAATAAAGGTGTTATATATCTAGGACTTGCTTAGGTTTTCGATTTTATACTGCTTTGCATTGTTAACAAGAGTAGGCCATCGGCTAAGCTATTTATCGAGACTAGTGCTGCTATATCCTTTCTTAAGCTTCTCGAACTCTATCCTAATATTCTGTTTCTGGTCCTTTGCGGTTAGCTAGATGCTCTTAGCTAGCGCAATAACCTTGCTTCGGACTGTGTAAATTCTAATATAGTGTTGTTTAAACTCCTGGCAGACTGTAATATTAATATATTTAAAGACTTTATTATACTTCTTCCTTTCGCTATTATAAATAGCTTAAAGGCTGTGGAATCTCTAGATCGTGTTATTATTTGCCGAGTCTAGTGGTTTGGTAACAGTAAAGACCAGGTTTTTAATGCCTTCGGGGTTACAGTAGTTCCACACATCGTTTTATACAGCAAGATCCTCGATAGAATTAATCTAATCGGTCTAATTATTGCGTGTGTTGAGTATTGGAAGGTTGTGATCTTTGATCGACATTGTCGCGATAATTCCTGCAAAATCCGGTGGCAGGAACGGAGCTTTGCTGCAAGTTGAGCATAGAACTTGGGCGTAGCAAGTTGCCGAGACGTGTGATGGATTGCCGTAAATTCGAGATAGACTGTTGTATTTGATCTTGATTGTTCAAAGGCCTTAACTCAATCGATTTCTGAGTCCTTATCTTTGAATGTTGAGGTTGTAATGTTGCTTTTTCTACAACCCCGCTTCTCGTAGAATCGGCCGAGGATTGTTGCCGCTTCGTGAGAACTGCTCCGTTGAGAGGAGAATTGTCTGATTTATTCGTTGCTCGTAGTGCTGTGTAGCAGGAGAAGAGCTACCGGGCTCATAACTGTCGCACTTAGGTGTGCACGGGATGAAGCAGGATTGGAAATGATATCAAGCAGCAGAGTATGATTGATTGTGTGTGTGTGGTGTCTCTTGTCGGTCGGGTTACCCCGCCCGACGTTCTATATAGCTTTGATGGCAAGCTTATTAATGCAGTTCTTGCCTCAGGCCTCCACGGCTGATGCCTTGGTCTGCGACATATTTCAATTAGAAGTACCGACCAGGGTGGCGACCTTGCATGAATTTGCGTGCGATAGCCGCCACAAGGCTGATAACGACTTCCTAGTATAGTAGTGAGGCTTTTAGGCTTAGAAGACCCTTATATGAGTAGCAGAAGTGATGGGAGCTTGATAGTGGTGCTGTGGTGATGGAATCCGGTTACAACCATAAAAGGAGTCTCTCCGCAAATCAGGCGCGAAGGAGACAATGCAACCGTAAATTTTAGATGCAAGGGGTCCTAGATGTTTAGAAATGGCTACAGCATGTAACGTGTATAGGATTAGAACAGAGATCAACGTGTGCACAAAATTTAATTTGTTTGAAGTTCAAGTACCCCTTATATTTCTCGGAGCGGAGTGTTTCTCGACCTGCAGTGATGGACTTTATACGCCTGCTCAAATCCCCGGCCGTCAGCTCTTTGATGACGAGTATGTTGATGGTTCTGATGACGAGGATGAGGGGCATTGGATGTGCCCTCCACCCCTCTCTGCTGAAGAAGAAGAGGCGGAGTTTGGCGAACTTGGACGGCATTCTTGGCGGAAGCCTTCCCGAGATGAATAGCGGGTTTAGTCGCTGGTACGTGGTCCGTCTTGAAATATGACGCTTCGTCGTTTTTGTTGACTAAACAGTTCTGTGGGAAGCTGTGAGCAAGATCAATAAACCAGGCTCCCTTATCTTCTCTTTGTAAGGTTTAATACCTCAACCTACTAGATAAATGAAATTTCTCTACCCCAATGCTTGACTTCCTTAACTTGGCCGTGATGTTTGAACTCTAAATGCCCATATACCAAAGCGATTACGGAGAATTCGGTGTTTTGTAAGTACCACCTATCACGTCTGTAAAGCTCTAAAACACTGTGAAGACTGAAAACTTGTACGTACTCAATAGTTTAATGTAGTAAGGATTTTAGCTATTTGTGAGAATCATGCTGCGGGGCTGAGTACTCCAAGTCGTGGCTATTGATTCTGTAGATACATACTGCTATTGATGAAATTGTTATACGAAAGTAGGAATAAGACTATGGTCTATCAATCTCCAAGTATTGTAAGAGCACAAAGCCGCTTTGTCCATAAACTGTCATAAAAATACTGCCGTGGGAAGCACCCCATCCCGTTATGCAGAATTCACAGATGATCAAGCAACTAACTATCACTTAAGTCATTTCCAATTTCCTTCTCCTTTCACAGCCTCGAATCTCCCTGAAAACCTGTTAGGCACTGCAAAGAACGTCCTCACAAATAGACGTGCATGAGTAGTCTAAGGTACCACAGTCAGTGGCTAAACATTGTACACAGTTGCATCGCAGTGTGTTACTTGTCTACCAGTAGCGAGTCCCTCTACCTAGCTATTGCTAGAACCTTGCCAAATCGCGCAGGCCGTAGTCGGCTAATAGAGAAGTGACGCAATCGGCTAGCGCAGCGCAGTCTTCCTCATCTACAGCTCCACGGCAACCCACTTCCTCGCCACGACACCAACCTGTCTCTCCTCCATCCGTCAAGCCAGCGCTCAACGCACGCCAAAGGTAAGCTCCCCATAAACACGCTGCGCCCAAAACGGATCACTGATCCGCCTCCAGCTCTCCCAATTACCCTGTTGAACGCGCCACCACTCTCTGATGATGGGCCGCGCCCGCCATCATCAGCAGCAATCGCCAGCACCACAACCGAGATCGCCTCTTTATGCGGGCTCCGGGCGCACCGCCCCCCCATCATCGGCAGCAATCGCCAGCACCGCAACCGAGACCGCTTCTTCATCCGGGCCCTTTCGCACCGGGCGTCCACTCCAGCGACAACACGATGGACCAAGTCAACAGCATTGACATTCCGGACAGGTTCGAGTCCTTGCTCCTGGCTGAGAGAAGGACGAGACCCGCCAGTGCTTCCCTCCGCACCAATTTGCCCGGCGCCTTGCGAAGTGAGTAAACGCTCACGAGACGTCGCCCGCCCAGCTGGAACTTGGAGCGGCTCTGTCTCGAGGATCTCGTCGCGTGGGATGGGTTTACTGGCGTGGCTGGAGGCCTGCATTGCGCTGATGTTTGTGGCGCGCGTGAGCTAGGAGGGGGGAATGAGAGGAGGGTTTTGTGGATGGCCTTGTGGAACGTTTTTGCCTGGCGTTGCAGGTTACGCTACGCTCGGTCGTGCAAAAATTCCGAATTGAGCGGGAGAGACGGTTTCATTCTCGCAAGATATTGGGAGTGGCTCCCGGTCTTCGTCATTGTCGAGACATGCGTCAAACTTATCAAAGATGGCCGCAGAGTTGTGCTAGTCTCCTCCGGCGCAATTGATGTTGGTCTGTGAAGAATGGACCGAGGAGGCTGGAGAGCTTTGCGCGCGTGCGTAGCAGCTTGAGAAAGGCGTGGTGGCGTAAGTGACCCTCACCTCCCTCCCGTGCCTCACCCATCTTCAGATCCTAAATTTGGACAGAAATGGAAATCCGTTTCTTGGAGAAAGTCAATGCCGCAGACCCGTCCGATAAGGAGCGGTGTCATATTGACGTAGAATGGCCGCGACCCGGTCTCACTCGATACTATCAACTTGCGCGGCTCCACCATCTGCTACTTCATCCTACCTGACAGTCTCCCACTCGACACCACTCAGGGTTTCCGGCCTACGTGCCTAGCCAATTACAACTTCTACAGAGAGGGGTTGGGGTACGGTGGCCTACCCTGCCTACCGCTGCCTACTGCTGCCTCTAATTAGTACTTATGCCTACGCTCCCTATGTAGTATATAGTCTGCTCGTACGGCTTCACAAATCAAACAGAGTTCACGTCAATTTGCAACCTAAGTACACCCCGCTCATCGACGATCAACTCAAACCGAAGAACAAGGTGGGGAAGGGAGCCGCGGATGCACTACCCGCTACTTCGTCCTACCCGCCAGTCTCCCGCTCGTGCCATGGTTTGCTTGGACGACGACGAGAGTGAAGGAAGATACACGAGGACAAAGAGGCTGGCTCAGGATGCGGCTGTTCAGTTGACTGGAACCAAAAGAACTGAGAGCGGCGGACAACCTGGTCTATTTCCTCGAAGAGGCTGTGAGTAGATGGATTGGGGGGGAGTTAGTATTTAGAAGAAGCATGTCTCAAGTTACTTAAACGGACCTTTCCTGTCACTACTACTGCTCTAACGCGTATGTAAAGCTCTAATGCTCTGTACCCTACACAAATTGGTTCCATAATAATGGTTCCTTAGGGAGTGAGGAGGAGCTGTAGAGAGCAGGGGGTAACGAGTGAAGTGAAGGTGAAGGCTGGTAGATACAAGCCCTGCAAAGACGGTAGCAGGGCTTCTAGGCTTGGTAAAGGTGAAGGTGTTAGCTCGTTTAGTCTTCTTCTTTGCCTTAAATAGGTTACAACGTCTAACCCTCTATCTTTGCAACACCTCGCTCACAGCCTTTATTTGGCTAATTGGCTTATTGGAAGCAAAATCTCACTACTACACCTCACCCGCACCTCACCCGTGCCCTCACCATGCCGTGAGACCTTCTCTCCCTGCCGAACGAGATCCTCATGAAAATTGGGGACGCTTGTCTCCTCGACGACCGCGCCTCGCTGGCCGCCTCCTGCCGCTAGTTCAGGTGGCTGATCGGGGAACACCCCTTCGGCCGTCCAGGCACTGCGGAGGCCCGGAGCCTATACAACTGCTTCTGCCGATCTGCTGTACGTTTAAGTATTATACAGTGCTATGTTAAGATTAGTGTACTCATGCATAGTAATTAGTTCCTGCGCGTTCTGGGTAGAGACCCGCAGCCCGCGCCCTGGTACTGGTGCGCGGCGCACAACCGCTCGCATAGATACCCCTGCAGCCTGGGTCAAGAATAAAGGTGACAACTACTAGTTTGCAGCACATGAACACGGCTCTAATGCGAAGCTAGCAGCGGACTAGATGTGCAAGTCATCAGTCATAAGCGGCAGAGACACGGCCCGTGGTTCGGTGGTAGCTTGTTGGGTCAGATGCCGGAGTTCAAGAGTTATTGCCATACCGAGGCCGAGTATGACGAGATTGGGCCTAGCACTGTAGGAGGGCTTGCGTTGCTGGGCGGGCTAGGCAGCATTTGGAGCAATGAGTCGGTAGTGAGTGTGCATAGGATGGATAGTGTGGGTGTTCGGGGTTTGGGTTGGATTTTTTTGAGCTTTGCTTTGTATAATACTATGCACACTTTATGCTCCTTACTTTGTTTAGAACTGTTCTGTAAGTGAAAACTTGTTATAAGTGAAGAACTTATTAAAAGTAAAAAACTTATAGTAAGTAAAAAACTTATAGTAAGTAAAGGAGGTTTTATAAGTGAAATATAGTTTACTAGTCGCTCCTTATAATTATAAGTCTAGTAGTACCTAGCTAAAGCTAAGAGTAGTAGTCTAAGTATTGCAAAGGGCTGTTTATTCTAAGAAGTTTAATACTTATAAATATGATATATCTTTATGAGAATGTTTGTCCAGATAGAGAAAGCCTATTAGCCGAGCTTGTCCTCTTTGTAAAGTCCGCTCTCCAACCATCAAGAATTGTGCTTCGTCAACTTGGAAAGAACATCCTCCTACAGTGTATAAAGCAGTATTAAAGCACGATTGTGGTCGCAACAAATCCATGGAATTGCCGTCGTGTTGACTCTGCAGTTGCTATCATGGTGGCTCACTAGGCAAGAGGTAGTCTAGTTCCCACCGAGCTAACTTTACGTTGTGTTTCCAGACCAGAGTGTGGATACGCGGATATACCTCTACACTGGCTTTATTCTTACCCGCTTGACGCCACCGAAAGGAGTGGCCCAGCTAGTGTGTAGATAGCTAGTCAAACAGCTGTCTAAATCCCCTACGCAAACATTGACATCAGGTTTCTGGGCTGGTAACTTGGAGACACGGAGATCTTACGGATTGAACCGCGCTCTTGTCCACTCCACGCCACTGTAAAGCGTAGCCCAGCCAGTAGATAGCTGGCTGGTCAATAGACAGTCAGATTTCCACTGCACCAGCTCCCATGTCGTGCTTATAAGCCATAGGCTTGTATATAGGGATATCCTACTACACAAGCTCTACCCTTGCCTACCCACCACCGCCGTCAGGGGTAGCCTAGATAGCAGGTGAGCATTCAGTCAAAAGGCAAGCCGATCCGGGGACGTTCAAATTGGGTAGACGTTCTCCTTTTGCGTGAAGACTTTACTTACTTAACCTACATCTTCTACTTACGGTCTGCAGCTAGGGTCTACCATGCTTCTATTATTCCCCATTTTAACCTTCTTAGAAAATCGCTTGTGTAACTTAGCCAGGCTGGCAAACATAAATCTGCTTACACTTATCGACGACCTCTTGTGGTATTCTAATGTACTAACAACGACCTGGAAGTCGTGTTCGATCCAGATCACCACGTTTCCTTCCCTGACTTCAATACTGGCATCTTCTCTCTCTTACGTGAAATTTGGGACTGGATACTTTTAGAGCATGCTACGTCTGCATTAGCTATGAGAGGAACTCTGATAGAGGAGAATGATGTGAAGAATTGGACTGGAATGCACAACAGTGAGTGGATTGGACTATAGTTGCCGGTGAGAATCAGTGTTTAGAATGAGAATGCGTCCAGTCACTCAAAAGACCCTTCCTATTGCTACTTGCCACTTCTTGAATTCGTACGTACAATTTTAAGGTTTTATACCTACACGGACTGAGTGCTTGGTAGTCGATCTTCAGTCAACTGAGTTTCTTCATTTAATTGCGGAGAGATTCTCATCCTTTGCTCAAAGTTATCTCCACGTCCACAATCTCTTCGTATAGATATCCAACACCGTCCAGGGTAGCCCTAAGAACTCAACCTTGCCAGAACAGACGCTTTAATATTCACTTGGCGCCTTCTGTATTAAGCTCCGTGTGTCAGATTACCCCTCGGCTCATGTTTGGAGATGTAATAGGCTGAGAGAGTGACCCGAGGCAGAGACCAATGAATATGTCCAGCCGTATATCTGAATGACCACTGATGTTAGCATAGCTCAGCCTCTTCACAAACAGCCTGAATTGATAGTAAGTCTGAACTAGGAGTTATGATCTTTCAGACCCATCTCGCCCCGTGCAATCCGCTCCGGGCCAGCAGCTGCCTCATCCACGTCAAGGTCTTCTGTCCCTTGGGATTCTAGTTGACTCAAAGGTAATTCAGCTTGAAGCGAGCATGAACTAAGCTCCTACTCGTACCGATGAACATCCATCGCTCGAATCCCTCCGTAGCTTCCAAAGCGAGCCCGCCACTCCCGCCGCATTTCTCGGGAAGAGAGTAGCACCACTCACCCAAGGTTCTCGAAGATCAGACAGAGATGCTTTATGTGTTCGAGGCAACCATAATAGTGTACGCATCTGCGGCTCTCTTCAAATGAGGAGGGAGACCATCCCACCTGGCTCTGACCGTAGTAGCGTACGTGTCGGCGGTGTCCTTCCCCGCCTTGTTCTTCGATTTGGGTTGATCGTCGATGAGAAGCGTGCCGTTGATAGCCGGTCCGACGGCAGAGGAAGGGGTTGCTCCGCAGCTCGCTAGGCCTTACATCTGTAGAGAACCCAAGGCCTGTCTCGTAGGTAGACCTTGCCAGGCTTTGGATTAGAAGAGGGTGCGGCACTCCAGCTTTGCCCACACTTTCTTTGGCTCCGGTTGAGCTTGCGGCATCTTGTAAGATTGCTCCTGTAAGGGACACTGGCCTGCGCTTCGAGTCCCGCAGGCCTGTCTTGGCCAACGGGTGTTGCCTCAGCTTGAGCACGAGCTCCGTGCGAGGGGTCTTTGTAGGTCTTGAGGCGGGAAGCGGAGGTAGCACGAGGCCGGGGAATGAAGTAGAATGTGGCCAGGCTGGACTACCCAGCGTCGGAAAGCCGGTTAGACACAGCACTAGGAGAGGTAAAGAAGCTGACCATGGCGTAGACCGATTTCGCGGTAGGGGTGCCAGAAGGGCCGGCTCAGGTGGGAGGGGGGCGTTGATGTTTGGGCGTTTGTTCTTGAAGGAAGGCAGGGAGTGGGCGATCTGCTTGTGTGCAGGCTTGAAGTCGATGTGGACACAGCGTCGAGGCGCCCTCGCCGTCTCGTGCGTCTCTGGTCGCGTTGTGGGCCTTTCTGGGGGCCTCGAGGTGCTGGGATTGCCGTTGGCTGGAGGGGCAGGTCAGTGACGAGCGGTGCAAAGGCTGCTTGGAGTACGTACCGTCTGACATGGTGGCGTTCTTGTTTTGGTATTGAGGTTGACACTTGGTGATGGTGGGAGTGTGGCGAAGTGTATCTGCGGTGGGATTTGTTATAGAGGGAGCCCATAACACCTGAATGTCCAGCACGACAGCAATGACGCCGTGAATTGTCTATTTTCTGACTTAAGTGTTCATGAATCAAGGGATTGAAGTGAATCAAAGAAGACAATTGCTCCTGTCTTGTCGCTTTTTGGGACAGCTCCGGGGGCTATATCTTACAGACATCAACGTAGGAGACTCGAGGCTGGAGATGAAATGGGAGTTTTAGCTCAGCTCGAGGCGGTGGAGGGATCATCATGCTAGTAAAGAAAGCAGGTAAACAAGGAGAAGAACTCAATATTCTAATCGCATCTACCTTCACAGGTCCTACTCGCCTCCCCTCAAGGCAATATCTTCGTGGCCTCTTCAAACATAACAGTCACTTGCGCAAATTGGAAGCGAACAGTTCCTGATTCTCGGTCGAAACCCATGTATCTGGGGCAGAAGGGTGCTAATAACGTCAGCTGCTTGTGAACGCGCCAATCATAAGGTCATGACTCTCTGTGCTCTATTGCGTGACGTAATTTTTGTTGGGGTAGGTCAAAATCACAACATCCGTGCCGTCCTGCCGTGCCTCTTCACTCCTCCACCAACCACCAAACCCATCCATCTTGAGCTCTTCACAGCACAGCACTCGCATTCACTCTCCTGGAGGGCATCCTCTCAACAGTCTTCCTCGTCCAGGTTCGTAGCTCGTCAGTCACTGCAAGAGTGATAGCGCGCATAGTTGCCGCAGTGTCGGGCGCGCATAGTTGCCGCAGTGTCGGACGCACAGGTGTGAGACACATTGTCAGAGCTGGTAAGTACTCCCCTCTATCTTCTTCGGGTTTGCTTAACGCGCTCTATATGATGATAAAAATACATTGGACTTGTTCCAAAGATTGTCGGACTTGTTCCGAAATGAGACCCGCATTTACGTTCTGCAAGAGTCACAATTTTGCAAAGTAGCTTCGCCTCCTCAGGAGCACTCCAGGCTGACAACATCACAGCAGAAGCTTCAGAGCAACCTCTAAAGGCTAGAGATGGGACTATTCGCCCGTCCTTCAATCGTCTACACCACGAAGCGACACGCTCACGACGCCCGTGGAGACATCAAACCGAAGCCTCGCACAACATTTTCTCGCTTTCCTTCCATCGAAGACCTCGAATTGTTAGAGATGGTCAAGTCCAAACCAGGGCGTGTGGATGTACTGTACCTGGTAAGCACACCCAGTCTTTCCCTTCTCAGTCTTCGCGAAGATTGGCGAATATGATGAAACGGTCTTTTCCTCTTGTCTAATAGGCTGCCGGTGGATGCCTTTGAGAACAAACCACATCTGAACACGCTCCTTCCCTACAAATCTACATCGCCTCTTCACTCGAGTCTTAGGCTAACAATGACTTCTTAGAAGCAGCGGGACAGCCTCTGACCTGAACAAGCGCTATCTCCTCCCTCACTCGCTTCTCTACGCCTCGAAAACGAGACCAATCGTAATGCTCTTGAAGCCCTCGAGCCTGCACGGGCCTCTACCGTTGCCTGATCAGTACCGTCACACAATGCTTTATCGGATATTCGCCACCAAATGCAGGGCCATATCCCCTCGAGTGCCAACCGGATAGGCGTGAAGTCCATGGTAAGCATTTTCCAATCCTGTCTTTCCCTTTTTTACAGCGCTTCGCCATATGATGAAGTTCACGTCTTTGTATTGAAAGAGCTGCCGTTGGATGCCCATGAGGTTGCCTTTGGATGCCTCTGAGGTTGACGTTGGATGCTCGTGAGAACAACATATTATTCTGAGAATGCCACATTACTACAATCATACGTCACTTCGTCCAGAGTTTTGCGCTAACAATGGTGTCGCGGAAGCGTAGAATCAGTGTCCAAAGCTGACAATCGCTGCCTTCGGGCCCTTCGCCCGTACTCGTCCTGCTAGCAAGCAGGGCATCTACAGCCCTTCTCGAGACCTCGAACCGATATACATCTTTCTTCATGTCTTGTTCGACTCTGTTAGAGAACGCTTTCTGGAATATCCCTGGGTGGACCCTCGTGGGCTCAAATTCTGAGACGGATTGTGAGATGGGAGGTGGGATCGGTGTAGTGCTTCCAGTAAGTGCATCTTCCTGATACCCTCTGCGTATTGCACGCAAACCCTCCCTTATAATGTGATAAAACAAGCCAAAACAACCAAAATGCCCGCGGCTTCTGGCATTTCGATCGGTTCTCTGCTGCTGGTGGGTTGGGCTCGCTACAAGCTGTGCGCCTATGAGAGAAACGTGTCAGTCTTTCTAATATAGTCGATTTTGGAACACCCCTCAGATTATCGGAACTAAATAGAAACACCAATCAGCTAACCATGCATTGTAGGACTATAGATACACGAGAGTGGGAATCCAAAACTGTAGCTTTTACGCTCAACCACGACTCCTTTTGCTCCAAGAGATCCACCACAAATCACTGCGCTGTAAGTGCCACTTTTCTTACGTCCTCCTTGCGGTGGGTTTATTATACACAACTCCACTTTGTGATGACACAAAATTTGACTACCTTTTTGATTGAGCTGTCCCGCCCATGGGGGCTGATACGCTAATGATTACAACATTTTGTCTGATTCAGTGGCATCTACACCAAACTGCAACAATTCCCAAAGAAGACCAGTCGGCTGATGACAAGAAGCAGTGCATACGAAGCGACAGATCCAGCGTGACGCTTCGAGCTAGAATCCCGAGTTCCTCTGCCTCAAGACATCCATGGTGAGTGTTTTCTTATTACACCTGCTTACTGCACAAACCTCTATTTACGTCGTGATGACCAAGCAAGCCCCTGGGGCTAATCACCCTAGGGACTAGTAAAAGCAGGCTATAAGGCACCTTCACAGCCATCCTTTGCGAAGGGGTAGCCCTTTGCGTGTTTCCTCCGGGATCGGTCTGTAGCCTATGAGCACAAACCATTTTAATTTTTCTGAACTAGTCTTTTCTACACGGCACTGTTATGACCTCTCATGGATATTGGATAGCTAACATCACCTCGCAGTATATGCAAAACTACATATCCAGCATGGCACGTCCATCTAGACTGCGGTTTCCCTCCATGTTGAAATCCTCATGGTGAGTGATCCCTTTCATTTGTTTATTATCCGAGACCCTATCAACAATGATAAAGCCATACGTAAAAAGGGCAAGCTATAAGGCGCCTCCGCAGTCATACTATTTGAGGGACAGCGTATGCGCACGGCAAACTCTTTCAAACATTCCTTTCACAGTCACTCACTGAGATTGGGTAGCTAACATCACTCCGCAGGAAGGAAGAAAAATGACTCCCACCGTCGGCCTTATACCGACCAGAACGCCCTGGCCCTTCTGAATGCTTAAGAACAACCCGGTGAGCATCATCTCTTTAAAGCCTTCTACTGCCCAGCACCCCTACTAGAGTGATGATAATGTAAAAGGTGCTGAGGAACCCCGCGGCTCTCCCCGGTGAGAGGAACAGCTTCTACAAGTTCTTCTGGGATTGTCTCGTGTGCGGAAGCCGTTGATTAGCCCATCCATTGTCTGACACGATTCCTTTTACACATAACAATCGTAACTACTGGCGGAGACTCATTGGCTAACGAGACTGATAGGCCACAGGAGGCGAAGAGTACGATTAATAGCTTTACCCGCGAGGTAGCTCTGGCAGCGTTGGAGTGGCGGAGACGGATTTGCGCAACGCGGAGGAGTCTTTCAGAGAAGTGTTCAACTGCGTGGAGGTTCGGAGGGCGACGGGCTCGCTACATGCGAAAGTGATATGAAGGTAGTCCATGGGAGAGTCCCAATTTCAAATCATCATTACGAAGCACTTTCGATTGAATATCCTGCACTGTGTAGAGATGCGCTAAGTGACGCCGCAAGAAATCGAGAAAGCCGCTATGGATCTCAATGTCCAGAGAACCAAGCAGAGAGTTAGTAGGGTCCTTCACTTCTAACAGCTTTGGGAGCACATCTTACCATTACCTTGGCCAGGTTGGAACCTGCCATGATGTCGAGGCTAATCCAAATGCGGTCTAACGTAAGTTTGGAGAGAGCGGCGGCGCACGTCACGTTTTGTTCATAGCCTCGCCTTGCTCCAGATCTCTCTCTCCACAACATTATCATTCAACAAATCACGCACACGGCCTCCGTCAACTTGTTCCGTCACAGTCGCATCCTCACATCCCTAAAAAGTCTCGCGAGACCCTCATTCCCTCTCTTCCAACCAGTACCGCCACGGCCTCAGTTGTCTTTGGCGCTTTCATCATTGCAAGGTCAATTTCTCCACTGCGCGTCTCGAAGGAATGCTGTCCGTCCCGTGTAGGATCGAAACCCCTTCCACCGACGCGACTTACGCCTAAGAAAGGGGACAATCTACTGTCTCGGCGAACGAGGATTTACGTTTCTTCGTCACACTTTGCGTGTTATAATTGACGAGTCTATCCAATTGACCAAGCTCAGCTAGAGCATATTGGCGCTTGCACCATTGCAAGGACGGCCGCAGTCTCTCCAAGGCGCGGTACATCGAACAAGTCACAGATGTCTCCCCATGTCTGTGAGATGATGACGCGATGCGTCCCCGCGCTAGAGCAAACTCCCCCTTCCTTTATCCATCACGACGATTTCTCCCTCCGGGCGTAGGTTCAAGCCCGGAGGGTCCTAAGGAAGGGGACATGCAAGCCAACAGACCATCGACTTAGTTTAGGCCGGTGTGTCGCGCTTTTACGCGCTGAGCGTCCTAGGTCGAACTATCCACTTCGACGCCTTCTCTCGTACCTCACACCCCTTGTCGCGGAAGGTAGTGCCGATGGAATGGACAACAGATTTTAGGTACCACCCTAACGGCCGACAGAAGGAGGAGCCGTACAAACTATACAGCTCCTACAGTCTTCTGTTGTAGATAGACATACACAATACACTCAACTTTCTACGTACACTACGCATACCGACTACGCCTCGCGTGCAACAGAGAAGAAGACCTAGCCGAAGTTGACCGCAGAGAAAAAGAGGGGGGAGATGAGACCTGGGGAGCTACGCTGCTGGGCCTCGTCTCGTATTTCGTGTCGCCGGAGCAGCGCGTTGCGGACCTCCCGCGCGTCGTCTTGCTCGCTGGCTTCAGGATTAGGCAGAGGGCGTCGTAGTTGCTGGGAAAATTCGGAATGGGGTCAGAGAGGGCAATACTGGTGGAGAGGTAGATGGGGACGGGAAGAGAGTCTGGTGCCGTGCCGTTTGTGTCGACAGAACGTGATGGCCACCATGACAGTCTCCCGGGAGCCCAACGGCACGGGCGCATTCGTTGTTCCGCTCTGGATCAACGACGAATTGAAGAGGAGCTTCTCGAGCTTTGAGGTAATCAGTCCTAGCTTGGCCACCGGTTGATGAGAAATGAAGGACAGTTCACGATTCGGGAGCGATAGTTTGATATGCATGTTTCATTGCGTGACCTGGCCGTAGTCTTCGGTGCTCCTCGCAATTATGAAGGGTCTGAGAACATGGATGCTGTTGTTTGAAGGCGTCTGCAAAGGCCTCGGGCGAAATATAGGTTTGACAAGCGTATATCATACTAGGGGCCGCACAGCAGACTTGTTTTCTTGCCTATGCTACTCATGTGATGTTACAGTGGCCTGAATTCTTATGTCTCATCTCCACAAGGCTCGTAGTGAATCTCTGCTGCTATCTTGACGCCGTCTGAAGTGGCCTCAAGGATCACGTGGTTTCAATATGAATGTACTAAACTAAGTGGCGTGCATCAAAACTGTGTCTCCTGCAGTCCCCTAACTGTGGGGTTTTATAGTGATGCTCCATCTCAAAGACAATTGAGTAGATTCGTGGAAGCTGTTACTTCCTATCTTGACATCGTCTAAAGTGAACTCGAGCATTTTCTGGTTTTTAGGTGAGTGTATCAACTACGTGGTCGTATATCAGACTTACGCCACTTGTATTCTCCTAATATTGTCAAGTGAGCGATGCTTGACCTTAATCATAGTTGATAGCATCAGAAAGTAAGGTTTGCCCTAATATTGATATCATCTGGATATTACTTCAAGATCAATGTACAATGTCGAAGATCACAGAGCCCCATTGCGTCTCCTAAGTCTTTGAGAGACACTGTAATGCTCTCTGAGAAGTCTCATAAGCGGGTGTGCTTCCGAAGAAGATTTATTGGAGAAGGAGGTGGACACCAGGCGGATCATTTTTGTGGTCAGGGTGAATGCTTCACCGAGACGCCCTGTGCGGCTGTAAACAAGACCGCGCTAGCTTCGAGACTTACGCACTGACCACACCATATCGCGTATGGGAGCATTTGCGCTTGATAAACAACACTGGCCTTCAAAGCATCTTCCACTACCGGCACATACCTGCAACTCCACTACTAAGTTGACAGCAATCTTTTGTCCCAGCCAACATCTTTCTGCAGCCGCTGAACAGCAATCTCAATTCTCCGCCGACAACAGTGTCTGTTCCATATATCTACACCAACTTGTATCATAGCTCCTCTCCATCGAGCCAAGATGGTCGCCAACCGCTCCTCCAACTCCAACAAGCGCGCCGCCAGCAAGGGCAGTCAACAAAAGTCCAAGCGCAAGGGTCACGATCTGGACAAAACATACAGAGCTCGAGTCTCAAAGAACACCAATGCCGGCGACAACACAAACACATCTCCACCTCGACGCAACCACGTCCGTGCGGTCCGACAGCCGAAGGCCCCCTTCAGCGTCTTCGAGAAGTTCAAAATCCTACCTCCAGAACTTCGGGAAATTGTCTACTACCACGCGCTTGATCTCGACCAAAACAGCACTATCAGATCACCAACCGAAGCGACAACCACGGCGCCTGGGGACTTTGGACTACTCCAAGCAGATCGCCAGCTGCACCACGAGGCTTCCGCCGTCCTCGAAAGACACGCAACGGCGGAGATTGATCTGTCCATTAACGACGACCGCTCTGAATGGCTCCAAGATCTCCTCCCTCGCCGGGCTCGCGATCCCCAATACGAGCCGATGGACCCAAGCGACGAGTACAAGCGCATCGAGGCCCAGAGGGACTTGAACGAGAAGAAGTTGGCGAACTTTCGCCGCGCCCATTTCCGCGCTGGCCGAGGGGACCGCGACCTTGGTCTCTTCCGGATGCACACGGGTCCATACGTGGACGAGCTGCATGACTACATCGAGTTCTGGGTAGCGAACGCGGAGCACGACCGCACGCGGCTTGCGACGTTGGATCTTGGGCGGCTTCTGCATCGAGCTGCGGAGTATGATACGAATCCGAAGAGCACGCACATCCGGAATGGGAACAAGCGCTTGGAACGGATCCGGAGGGACACCACTGAGAAGGTTTGGCGGATCTTCGAACTGATGGCGTCGGACCGGAATTGTGAATGGACCATTACTTGTTATCCTTGGGCTCCCGACAACATCTACATGCTGATGGGAGACACGGTCTTCGATGATCTCCTCACCAAGTGCACGGCCCTCGGATTCACCTTCAGGCCAAACACTTCGGGAGAGCGCGAGGCCTATGATGACGAGCGCCAGAGCTAGTGGTAGAGCACCGTAAAGTCTCCGTCTGAAGGTACGGTAGAGCCACTTGTTTCTGTGGATAAGAGGTAGGGGCTGATCTTGACTCCAGGGCATCATCAGCTAGCGACCCGTCGCCTTCTCGATTGATCGACTCATATTGTATCAATATCTCCCGTGCCAAACACACAGCCGAATACTTTTTCTTGTCGATCGGAGTAGATATATCTCTCAACAAAGAGTGCAGATTTGTGCCGTAAGATTTCTAATTCACAAATCAGTCCCAGGGTATAGAGGTTGGGGGTTTGATTATACCACACGAAAACCATATACCCAAGACCATCGGAATTGAAAGGGGTCAGAAATTGGGGTGGAAGAGACGAAGATGTCTTTCTGTATTCTTTCACTCCGTATCTTTCCTTTGTTCGTTGTGGTCCATTTCTTTTCTGGCAGTTTGCGGGCTTGTCCAAGAGTTTGATGCGTTTTTCAGGTCGTATCTCTTCCCAGTATGCATAGACTGTACAATGCTTTCGTCCGGCAAACTAATGTCTGTAGAAAATCATGTCCTGAGCTATCCATGGCAGTTCGTAAATGTGGTGTAGAGTATTCCTAGGTTTCCAAACCCGATTCACTGTTTCGATTTTTCACGTGCTTCCGCAATCTGTCAAGTTCTCACGAGCCATCATTCGTCATGGCGCCATGACTCGAGCACTTCCCATAATCGCTTTAGCCATCAAGATACACATTCAAACCGCCAAGATACCAGAGTTGTCCAGGTAGACGGAGCTTAGCGCGATTAGGGGTAGGAAAGTGTTGAACACCGGATGCGAAGAATTCATTCAAAGTACCAAAATACCGTTCCTCTCTGCGTTCAAGAGGTCGAATTCTACCCCCCTGACGTGCAACCCGCTTCATCCAACCCACACCTCCTCCCCAGCCCCAGCCTCAACCTCTGCAACATACACCATCGTCTGCACGGGTGTCTGATCCAGCACCAAAACAACATGCCTCCCCTTCGCCCTCAACATCTCCCCACTCGCCTCCCACCGCGTCCACCCCTCCCCCGTAAACCACCCCGCCACCCACTCCACACTCACAAAACCCATCATCAAGCGCCTCGACGCCCCTCGCGCCCCAAGATACACGCCCAAAGACCTCGCCTCCACCCCACTAACCACAACCGGCCGCCCCTGCGTGGGCAACTCATGATGCAGCGCATACGCCAACGGGCCCATATCCCCCACATTATTGTTCACGGGGACCAGCGCCCCACCCAACACGCACCGCTCCCACGTCCACCCCAGCCCCTGCCGCTGCGTGGGCGGCCCGCCTGAACGCGCAGCACAACCAACCACGGCGCCACCCCGCGCGCTCCCCACTGCGGGTGCGTCAGCATGCCGAACGCGTGCGCGACCTCGTGCGCCAGCGTCTGCGCGAGCACGAACAGCTGCCGGTAGCGCAGCGACGCGGTGGCCGCGCGCCACCGGAGCGCGAAGAAGGCGTAGAAGTGGCGGTTGAGGCCGATGGTGGGGTGGTGCGCGCCGTGGTGGACGCTTGGCCAGGCGAAGGGCGCCGCCGAGGGGGGCACGAGGGTGTGCGCGGCGGAGCGGGCGCGCGCGGGGAAGGTGGCGCCGAAGACGCGCTCTGGTTCGGGGGGTGGGCGGGGTTGGGGAGCATGGAGAGGAAGGTTGTGTTGTTGGCGAGGTGGAGGAAGGCGCGCGAGACGGCGGGGAGGGCGCGAGGGGAGGACTCGCGCGAGGACGGACGCGTGCAGGTAGTCTTGCGTGCTGGCGCAGCCGGGGGTGTGCGCGTGGTGGCCGAGGAGGAGGCGGGGCCAGTAGTTGGAGATGGCTTTTTGGTCGGTGATGAAGAGGGAGGCGAGGCGCAAGGCGGGCTTGATGCGGTTGTAGAATCTGTGGGTTTCTTGGTTGGGGCCGGTGACCCAGCGGGAGAGTTGGAAGAGCGGTGGTAGGCTATCGTTGCCTTGCGTACCGGAAGCGATGAGCTGCTTCTTCACCGTGAGGCATATGTTGAGGAGGTTTGTTTCTTGATCTTCTGGGAAGAAGGGGGTTTCAAATGCACCGTGGCCGAAGTCTATGGGGTGCATTACGCGGAAAAGATTTGACTGGGCCAGAGGTCATTCACGAAAATGTCAAAATTGGGAAAGTTCATAGTAGGGGAAGGCCAAAGCCATGTTTGTATTGGTGTAGGTGTTGTCTATGTTTTGCGTTGGCGGCACCTATGTGCACATTAATTCCAACGCGCTGGCCGTGTAAGCATGACACGCACCAGCAATGGTGAAGTATTCTATGGGAATAGAATATCAACTGGTCTATGCTACCCGGCACATTATGCCGAGCCAAGAGTTTTCTCCCCGCTGATGATCGGTCGATGCCCAAGTACAAAGGCGATCAAGCTATGAGGGGGCCGCTTCTACGGTGCCAGACCATTACTGGTCATCGGCATCCCAGAAGCTGGAGGAGCCGCCATTGCGGCGAGAAGAATCGCCTGCACGACGGGATGGCTCACGTTGGGAGCGGCCAGAGGTCTGTCGCGAAGTTTCAGTCTCTCGCAGCTCCCGCACACGGCTTGGAGCTGCGGTGCGGCTAGCCTGGGTCTGGTCTCGCTCAGCTCGACGACGTGCATGCCTATCCCTAATCTCTCGACGCTCTTCCTCATACTCGGCCCTATTCGCGGCCATCTTGAGATCGAATCTACGATTCTTCTCAGCATACTCTTCCCGCCGACGCCGATTGTCTTCCTCATCCTCTGCTTCCATCTCTGCCATCTTCTTCGCCAACTTGGCCTCGTTGGCTTTCATCTTTTCGGCACACTCGATCCGCAACTGTCGCTTCTCTTCCTCATGGTCCGCCATCTCAGCATCGAAGAATCCTTGAAATTCTTCAAGGGTGCGAGGATACGGACGACGACCGCCGGCGCCAAAGCTTTGGGGCATGTTGGTCTGGGAGGGTGTGCTGTTGTTGGAGCTTTTGGGAATTGTGGTTGTGGTGACTGTGGGGGTTTGGAAAGTTGTGTTGGAAAGCTTTGAGTATTTTCAGCTTTTCTGAGAACTTGGTGAGGAAGAGAGGATGAGGGCTGGGTTGGAGAGCCTTATATATCGGTTTCTTGTAGCTACTCAATGCTATATGTTCGTTAACACAGCGTCTTTGAAGAGGTACGTTGTGTAATGTGGAAGAACATAGTTCTACACAATGTTATATATGCTTTGGCATCGTGGATCTGAATATTCATGTCCTGTATTGTTGAAAGACCATGCTGGTGGCTGTATCTTTTAGGATTGTTATTGAAGACTCCGCAATGAGGAGAGAATCTGGAGACAAAGAAATACAGTACTAGGACATAGGTTTGCGCGCCCTGACTATGAGCCAAAGATTGATCCAGTGAAAAGAAGGTCGCCAATGAGTGATCGACTTGGTGCTAGTTGGGCTGGTCCTCACAATGACGTCTAGAGAGCAAGCGTGAAGCCCAAGTAGCTGCGATATCCTTGCGTCCGAACTCATGAACTCGTGCTATAGGTGCAATTGATCCTTCCGTGACCTCTGTAGATCGGCGAAATGATAATTTTGCGGGGAATACTGGACGAGGCGCATAGATGAGATCCAAGGAAGAGAGCTGTTAAATCGAATTTAACGAGAGCAAAGTCACGGATATTGAAAGGGGGTATGTGTATGGGGAATCTGTCGTATTTCTGGTATCAAAGAGTGGGATTCTGGACGGCTCAACCAACTTCGCCGATTTGCTAGATGTTCTGTTCCATCATCTCAGAATCATATAGATTCGGCTTAGCGCTGTAGACGACAGGTATCTGACCCAGCCGTGACCAAGATTCACGGTCGAGCGAATGACGGCTCTATCACACTAAGGCATTTAGTGTATGTCAATAAAGTCGTCGAATCTTGATGGAGTGTGCCCGACTGGATGTTGGTAGCTAGAGTGCCCTTGATGCGAGCGCTGATTGGAAGGCTTTTGGCGCGAGGGTTGACTAGAGGACCCTTGACGCTAGCATTGACTATAAGGCCTTTGGTGCGAGCGTTGGCCAGAGAATACTGGGCTCTAGACTTCGGTTGAAGTAAAGGTTAGCAGCAAGCCAGTTTCCAGAGGAAGGGATTCACTAAGAGGGTGTTGGGGGCGAACTTACGTTTCTCACTCAATCACGAAATTCTAGAGTCAGGCAACCGTTTACGAGAAGTGTTGGGTTGTGTTGATATTCGAGTAAATTATGTGTTGGTAACGTACTCCACAAGCGAGCGGCCCACCCAAGCGAGTGGCCCACCTCACAAGCAAATCACAACATTAAATGCAAATTGCTCCACAACGCCAATAGATATTAACTTAATACGACCTGCAGTCTAATCTACAACAATTTCCTTATCTTTTTGACACGTACGAGAGTTATGTCCTGTCTCGCCGCAGCGCCTGCAGCGCGCCTGCTGCCGTGCACTTCCACCCGGGCGCCTCCTATTTTGACGCACTTCCCCCTCAATTTATTCATTAGCTTCCTTTTAAGCGATTATATTAGAGCCCTGTGCCTTTGTTAGGACTCCTTGCCTCTGAATTCGCTTTCTTTTGCGCTCTCTACGCTTTGTGGCGGCCTTATTCGCCTTTTGAAGGCTTGTAACCTGATCGCGCAATAACACAGCCCTATGCATCTGCATCTCAGCGCCTCTAACAAGCGAATCAAGCGACTTAAGAATCGCAGTAGGAGAGCTATGTTGATGCATTTGAATGCGATTACGAAT